CTTCCCACTTCTTCCATGATTCTTCTTCCTCCTACTCCAATACAGACTGTCCCTGGTCTATAGTTGCCTTATGATATTTTTACTTTATTATAGTTACTTTTTTTGTATGATTACTTATTTGGTTCCTATACATTCCTATAAGCAAGACCACTCAATATTTATCTTTCCATCCATGTTTTTTCAAAGGGCATGGGTTTATCCTTTTTGACTGCCGAGTAATATTCCATTGTGTAAATATATCACATCCTATTATTTGTTCTTATAGCCTAAAAGTTTGCTTTGATTTATATTGTTCATTTGTTGCAATGACTGCATATGAATGAAGTCACATTTGTTTGGCTCTATCCATATTAATTTCCTTTTCTGAACATTATACCAAAGTCCATCCAATTTGTTGCAAATGTTAAGTTTTCATTTTACAACTGAGTAGTACTCTAATTTATGATACTTCACAACTTCTCATCTACCCCTCTGCCCTTGGGTTTTAGATTTCTTCCATAACTAGACTATATGAAACCTATATGAATCATGCTTCAGTGTATGTGGGGATACATATGTTACCTTGAGTTCATGTTTTCAGAGGGATCATTTGGTACTTGTGCTGATTTGTATTACTAATTTTTGGAAGGCTCCATATTGTTGTCAAAGCTAGCTGTGCTCATTTACATTCCCACTAGTATTTTATGTATGTTCTCTTTTCTCCACAACCTCTCCAAGGCTGGATGTTTCTTGTCTTTTGGTCCTCTACTGATATGACTTCTCATTACTGTGTCGGTTTGCATTTGCCTAATAAGTGATAATGGTGGGATTTCACTGTCAAAATAACTATAGTTGTTTTCTTTTCCTTTAATTTTTCTGCTGGATTAATCACTATATATGTTACTGTGGGATATAGTTACAATATTCTTGTTCTGTTTATTTAACTTTGTGCACTTTTTATTAATGTAGAACTCATTTTAACATTTCTTATAAGATAGGGCTTATGGGGATGAACTCCACTGGCTTTGTTGGGTGAATACTTAATTTCTCCATCATAGATGACTATTAGTTTCATGGAGTAGAATATTCCCAGTTGGTGATTTTTATCTTTTAGTGTTTTAATATGTTATCCCACTCTCTCCTAACCTGTAGAGTTTGCTAAGAAATGTGGTGATAGTGTGATAGAGGTGACAGTGTGATAGAGGTGACTTTTGTTTTCCCTAGCAACCCTTAACATTTTTCTTTATCAGTGACTTTTGACAATTTTACTAGTATTTGTCTTCATGTTAGGGCTCGTTGACTCAGATAATTTGGTATTGTGTTGGCTTCATGGACTTATATGTTTACTTCTTTCCCCATATTTGGGAAGTTCTTAGTTATTATTTCTTTAAATAAGATCTCTGTCCCCTTCTATACCATTTCATATGCTGGGAAACACATTATTCTTGTTTCCTTTCCCACAGAGTTTTACAGTTTTTGTAAAGTTCTTTCATTTTTACTTAATTACTATTTTTCTATCCTCATCCTCTTGAGTGATTTCTAGCTCTCTATTTTCTACCTCACCAATACTTTCCTTCATAAGCTCTACCCATTCCCTATGATTTCCATAGTAGCACCGTTTCATTTATGGAATTTATTATATCCAGAATATGTTTTTTTTTTCAGACTCATTATTTTTGGGCAAAATACTTCTTTGCTCCTTGCTTTATTTCATGACTCCATTAATGTGCCTTCTTGTGCTTTCTTGTAGTTGACTGCATTTGGTCATGAGAACTGTTTTGGCATTTCTGTCCATTGGGTATCAACATTCTGGGCTTTAACTTTCATTTCTGGTGAGTTATCACCCCTCTCTAAAATTCAGTAGTGCTCCTCTGTGTGTATACTTGGTTTACTTTGGTAAATGGGTATCTTTCTTTTATTCTAGTATGTGGAGCTATGTTTTAGTTTCAGTTTTTACAAAGGGCCCCGCATAGGAGGTTGGAGTGTCAAAAGGCCATTATATCACTACCTCGGTAGGGAGGGAGGTGGGGGTTGCCCTGGCAGAGTCACACTGCTGACTCCATGTAAACCTTGGCTGGGTCTTGCTCTGTGCAGCAGCCTTTATGATTGCTTCATGCTTCAGGGCTGCATATCAGTGTGGTGGGCTGATTTCCTTTATGCTAGATGGCCTTATGGTGGAAGGGAGAAAGTAGGTGTTGTAGTTCAGTGCACCATTGACATAAACAACCTCATCTGGTCCCACCCCTGTGTGGCCCCAATGATGGGGTCCATGTATGGGGTGTCAGGAAACACAGACACATGGAGCTATGTTTTTAGTTTCAGTTTTTACAAAGGGTCCTGCATAGCAGGTTGGAGTGTCATCCACAGTGTCTCTGTTTCCTGACACCCCACTGCCTGGTCTGCAGCAAGATCTGGTGGCTCCAGCATCTCCATTGTTTTGGTTCCCTCAGATCCATCACTCCTAACCCATCCACCTTCAGATATACAGAGATATGTGTGTCTCTGGAGTACTAGCATGATGAGTAGAGAAGCTGTTCTTGATTTAAATGTTCTAAAGGTTGTAGTTTAATGAGGAAGAATGATGCATTTCCTTGCTCTGCCTTGATGCTGACATCATTCCAGAAACTCTTCATTTGAGCCTTTCACATCATCTTTCAATAAAATGTTAAAGTGTAATATTTTCAACTTATTGACAGCACTTGTATCAACATTTATATCTCCTATTATCTAAACTTCACTTTTTCTTTCCTTTTTTTAATTCTTGGAATTGACATTTTAATTATTGTATTAGATTAGGGGTATAACATAATGATGCAATATGTTGATCTATTGTTTAAACTATAAAAAAAACCATCACAATAAGTGTTGTTAACACACAAGACCATGCAAATTCTAAAATATTTTCTCTTCTGATGATTACTTTTAAGATATAATTCTTAACAACTTCTAAATACATGACAGATTATTATGAATTATAGTAATCATGTTGCACATTATAGCCCCGGATCTTATAAATGTAATAACTAGATGTCTGTGTATTTTTTACCCCTTCCAATCACTTATCACCCTCATTATTTCCTGCTACCACCAGTCTACTACCTGTTTCTTCAAGCTTGTTTTTATCTTTGTTGTATTGTATTGTTGTATTCTTAGGCACCACACATAAGTACGATAATACATTATTCTTTACTATGAGTTTTAGTTAGGACAATGTCACAATGCTTATAATTAGTATTACATTCATGCTATAGATGACAATATTTCACTTTTCATACAACAGAATATTCTATTCCACATATATCTCTACATATACATATGTGTGTATTTTATCTCATGAGATGTATCAAATTTTTTTTCTGGTCATTTCAATAGTAGATGCTTAAGAAGTTGTTTCCTTGTCTTGTTTATAATGAGTAACTGTGTGAACATGAAAGCACATATAATTGACTTATTGTTTTGGTTTCTCAAATAAAAAAAGCAGGAACAGTGCTGTCATAAAATAGTTCTATTATTAACTTTTTGAGACACACCAAAATGCTTTCTATGCTAGAATCTCTTGTACTTTTATTTAGAAAAAGTTCTTCAAAACTAATTTCTATACAGGAAGTCTGACACAGCGAAAACTGCTCCAAGCTATGCTAAGGTCTTTAAGTCTCAGCTTCTCCAGCTGTACAATTTACTGTAAGTATGAACTACTCTTCATTCCCTCACAAATTCAGAGTGCACCATTCTTAATATTTAGTAAGAGTGTTACTTTCTCAACCTTTGCCCCTTTTCATTTTGATTGTTCTTTAATGTTTTACTTTAAACAACTGAATTTATAATTATCAAAGCATCAAATGCAGTCACCTCCCAAATACAGTGCACAAACAAGAAAATCAACATAAAAATATTATGTACTTAAAGAAGTTTAAAATGAGAGATTAACCTGTGCAGACCCTTCCCCCACATCACAGAGCACTGTGTAGCACAGAAGCACGTTGGTGATGGCTTAAGTGCAAAATACTTCAAAAGGACTCAGGTTGATGATACACAAAACCCATTGTTATTCAACAATTCAATAAAATTGAATTGAACTGCACAGTTTCAATTGGTTTGAACTACATAGCTTATATTTTAATTTCTATTGCTAATTCACATAAATATTCTTGAATGTTCTATAAAGATATTTCCCAGCATGTTTCAAGCATCCAGATTTTATCAACAGGATAATTGCAGTGATCCACATGGGCTTTATCCTAGATTTGCACTAACAACATGCTGCCACTGATGCCCTCAACATGCAAGTAAGGTGACATTTTCAAAGAATGGTGAGAAGCCATGTATGAAGATAGAGGACAGATCTGGAAAGGTATTTGGAATGTAGAAGACATCCTTAAAAGAGAGAAATAATTTTGGAGTTCTTCAGTCTTGTTTTGAATCTCTCCTTAAGAAGTGCTGGGTCATGTATTTGATGCACATAGTCAATTTAGGTGATAATCCCAGGGGATTCTATGAACATTTGTATCACTGAGGTTGTAGCAGAACAATTTCCACTGAGGGCAACCAAGGTGTGATGCCTTAGAGATCGATCATGTGACACTGTAGAAATGTCCCACAACTGCCTCCCCCAGAAGTGATGAGGGTGGGATATTTGGGTAAAAAGCCCTGTTTATCTGAAGGTGGAGATGAGTGCTAGGGTGTCAGCTCCCATGCAGGTCTGTGTACTGTGTGTTCACGTAGAGGCGCTCTGTGCGGAGATGAAGCCCTGGGCATAGAAATAAAGGGGGTAGAGTTGGTAGTGTGTGTGAGAGAGAGATGTTCCTCAATCTGAAAGGTTACCCTGCAGATGGACTGAGTGTAATGATGTTGTGTTTAGTGAGAAATAATATTGGAAATGGATGGAGGAATCTTGTTCTGGAGAGAGTTAGAAGAATTGATAAATGTGAACTGACCTGTGGGATGAGATCCAGGTGTGTGGCAGGGGCTTGGCTTGTCAGGAACAGGGACAGCTACTCTACTTCCTTTCTCATTGACCCAGGATGGCCACGGAGGGGGGAAACATTACCCTGGTGTCTGAATTCCTCCTACTGGGTATTTCAGATGATGACAAGCAACAACAGCTGCTATTCATACTCTTCCTGATCATGTACCTGGTCACAGGCCTGGGCAACCTGCTTATCATCCTGGCCATCACCACAGATGCCCATCTCCACACCCCCATGTACTTCTTCCTGGCCAACCTGGCCTTCGTGGACATTTGCTTCACCTCCACCACCATCCCCAAGATGCTGGTCAACCATGTCACAGGACACAAAGGAATCCCTTATGGTGGGTGCCTGACACAGACTTTCTTTTTTGTGTGGTTTGGCAGCATTGACAGCTTCCTTCTGGGTGTCATGGCCTATGACCGCTATGCTGCCATCTGTCACCCCCTGCATTATTCCTCGTTTGTGACACCACTGGTCTGTATCCTCCTGGTGACAGCATCCTGGACTGCAGCCTTGGGGAATACCCTGACCCACACATTGTCACTGACCCGCCTCTCCTTCTGCACCCACAATCGGGTTCCTAACTTCTTCTGTGACCTCAGCACTATGCTGAAGCTGGCCTGCTCTGACACCTTTTTCAATTATACAATGGTGAACACAGTGGGGACCCTGCCGGTATTTTTCCCCTTTGTGGGCATCCTGGTCTCCTATATTCGCATTGTTGCTGCCGTGATGAGGATCCCGTCCACAAAAGGCAAATGGAAGGCTTTCTCCACCTGTGGCTCTCATCTCTCTGTGGTGTCCCTGTTCTATGGGACTATCATTGGGGCTTATTTCAACCCCACATCCTCCCACTCAGCCCAGAAGGACACAGCTGCTGCAGTGATGTACACTGTGGCCACGCCCATGCTGAACCCCTTCATCTACAGTTTTCGCAACAATGACATGAAGGGTGCTTTTGTAGCCCTCATGAGGAAGAAGCCAGCCTTTACTTCATGTCTGTCACCATCCTAATCTTGGTTATGATTTCCTTCATATTATTTTCAGTTCACTTATTTTTACTTTATTTTTCCAACAGCTATTTATTGATTACCTATTAAATTTCAATAACACTTTTACTTGCTAAAGCCTGCAGAGAAAAAAGAAAATCCCTGATATTGTGGTATTCATATGAAGTCATAGGAACACATAATGGTTTGTAAGAAATGCCTTGACTGGGTCAAAAAGATGTGGTATAGACACACAATGGAATATTACTCAGCAACCAAAAAAAGACAAACTGATGCTACTTGTGGCAACATGAATGGAACTGGAAAAGATCATACTTAGTGAAATAAGCCAGAAAGAAAAAGAAAAATACCCGATGGTTTCACTCATAGCAGAAGTATAAGGGATTAGGAAAAATATATAGATATAGTAATGTTATAAAGTAAAAAAGAACACCAACTAACAACTATAAACCAGAGACATTCTATGGGGGAGGAGAGGAGAACAAAATCAAAATGAGTGGGAAGAGCACATGGGACCATGGTGATGGCGCATGGGAGAAGTGGTGGTGGGAAGTCCATGGGGATTACAACTGAGATGAAAAACTGTACAAAATGAAGAATAATGTAAAAATGCCCTGAAAACCAGAGACCAGGATTCAAGTTCCACTTGTATAAAGGTTCAGATTCTAGTTTCTTCTACTGTTAGGAACTACACTCAATGTTCTTCTGTACAAAGATTTAATTGGTTTAATCTAATTAGTTTCAATTTCATTTGCAGTGCTTGTTTCCTTAAACAGCAATGTTTTTCATTATCAATTAATTGTCATGTGAAGCAACAGTCTTGAGAAGAAGGTGAAAGCCTCATTTATACTCCCTGGGAGAGAATGGAAACTGTTGTCTTTTTTAGAAATGTGATGTTTATGACTCATCACTCAACTCTAAGTAGCTTCTTGCTGTTATTGATCACTTCTAAAAACAGGCTCGGAACATGTGACATATTTCTAAAGTGTAACAGGGGATAGTATTTCCAAATTATCTTTCTTTGTAGCTAACTAGTTTGTGAATTTTATGATTTTATCACTAGTCCAACAAGTTAGTATAAATAACTTTTCATTTTTATGATGACAATTTTTGGTTACCTATTTATATATTATAGAGGAATGCTTTATTTGCTGTTTAATTACCTAGAGTTTCTGTAACAAAATACCACAAATTTTGTGGTACAAATATTTAGATGCATAGGTGAAATACTGTGGTATAAAGATGACTCGCAGCAGGATATGTTAGATGCTAGACCAACAGTGAAGTTTGACCAAACAGTTCCTGAGAGCCAGAGGGTATGATCAACTTTTCAGATTTCTGGGCCAAGGCCTACAGTGCTTTTATTCTGAGAAGGCTGTAGGCAGTAGTAACAGCTGAGTCTCTGCAAAGTTCTGTGGAAGTTTAGAGTCTAGAGGTCTAGTCAATCTTTCAAATCTACAAAGGTCTGGTTATCCCAGAAGCCAACTACTCAATGAGTCTTTGTCTTTAGAGGCTGGGAGCTCAATGCCTCTTCTTTGAATATTGCTGGCTTTTGTTTTGCCTTATTTGCCCTCAGGGAGCCCCACCCTAAAATCTTGATTGGTCCATTTTCAAACCTAAGTGTCTGATTGAACTGCTAAGCACCAGTCAGCTCCTTTCACATCTTTTTTTTTTTTAAGATTCATTTATTTATGCACACAGAACTGGGATACAGGCCAGAGGTGCAGGAGTGGTAAGAGGATTCACCAGAGACAGAGTGGGGCACAGAACAGGATGACCAACGAAGTACACTGCTGAGGGGAGCAGCGGGTGGGTCAGGAGAGGTCTGCCATGCCATGTGGATCACCTCCGGGGCTAGGGATCGAACTCATGCTGAAGTGGCTTTAGCTTCCCAGTGGTGTGCTTTACCCACTGAGCCAGCAGGGAGGGCACAATATTTAATTGGAGTTTGGGCTTGGTGGAAAGAGCACAGCTGTGAGGAAAGAGGTGAGGGGGCTGACAGGGCACCAACACAGGTGTGTTGCCCCCTGTAGACACTGGGGCGCCCATACACTACCACACCCCTAGGCTATCGAAGTCCTTGAAAATGCTCACTATCTAGAAGAAACTATGAAAAAACAAGGAATTTGAAAGCGCAAAAGCAAGTCTTGAAAATCTATAGACCTTAAGTAAAATACCTTGACTAGCAGAGTGTCAAGCTTGGTGTAACCCTGAGGGTATTATGCTGCATGAACGCATTCAGAAAGGAAACACCATATGATTCGCTATATGTGCGACACAAGAGAGCAAACCCAAGGGATGAAATATAAAAAAGCAAAAGTTAGCTCTTACATTTTCACAATAAGATGGTCATGAAATGAGGGGAAGGGAGAGCAGGAGGGTGAAAGAAGTAGAGGGGATCAATTGTAAGGTGGTGGAAACTAGGTTTTTAGAAGAGATTATAATAAAGTATGTATAGAATAAAGATTTTAGGCCCCTCCCTCGTGGCACAACAGGTTAGGGCTCAGCACTGCAAGCCGGCCGCAGCAGCTTCAGTGTGAATTTGATCCCCGGCCCTGGAGGTCACCCACACGGCCTGGCAGACCTCTCCTGACCTGCCCGCTGCTCCCCTCAGCAGTGTACTTCCTCAATTTGCCTATTCTGCTCTCCTCTCTTTCTCTTGTGAATCTTCTCACTGCTCCTGCACCTCTGGCTTGTACCCCAGCTCTGTATGCATAAATAAATAAATATTTTTTAAAAGAATGAAGATTTCCATATTAACCTAAAATGGCTATAATGTACACCATGTAACTTCAAAGGAAAACAAAATTAAACATGAATATGTTATATGAATTTTACCTCAGCTGAAAATTAATATAAACATTAGCATTATACTGCTCTGAGCAGTGGGAGCCACCAACATACCCAGAGACCAGCAGGCCTAGCAGAGCTGGGTGGTCCCCCAAGACCCAGCCCCAGTACAGAGAGTTCAGCAGCAGAAGGAAAGCCCACAGCCAACTCCCCCAGCCTCTGCTCCACAGAGGCAGGCCCAATAGGAACAACCTGGGGAGCAGACAATTAGCAGGGGCCCTAATAAGACACGAGGGGCTGAGCCCAGGAGTGGGATGAAGGATAAATCAGGCTCTGCCAGGGCCCAGCATCCTCCTGTGAAGCCAGGCCTGCCTCCATGCCCCTCTCCATCCAAGGATGGTCCCCCCTCAAGAGTCTGCTCAGCAACCCCAAGACATTGCCCACACCCAGAGGGGTTAATTCCACAGGTCAGTGGGGAGGGAGGGAGGCCAGCTCCAGGGAGGGGAGGGGAAGCTGCAAATCAGGACATCCAACCTGCTGTGTGGCTTTGGGGAAGTGACTTTGCCTCTCTGCTCTCAGATCACTTGTCTGTCAAATAAAATCAAAATTAAATGCAAACACATGGTGTATGTAAGTTTGCTAACAGCTGCAGCTTCTGGGTTTGCATGACATAAGGGCTTTGCAACAAGACCCACAACGAGACACTTGGCAGCTGATGTTCTCTCCAAGGCTTTCTGTCCTGTCATGGAGGTAGCACCGCCAATCCTAGAAGATGAAACCAGATGAAGCATGTCAATGCCCTGCCAGGCATTAGTTACAGGCAACAGGTAAGGAGTGTTAGCTAGTAGAAGCAGGACAAAGGGAGGTTGGTGCAGGATTTGAGCAAGGGAGAGCCGGGTCATTTCACTCTGGTGCTGGCCACTGTAGAGGCTGGACTAGCAGAGCAAGCCTGGACTCAAGAGACCGTAGGAGGGACAGGTTTGATGTCTAAGAATGTCAAGATGGGAATCTGGTGGTGCCCCGAGAAGGAGAGGAGTCATCAGAAGAAGAGGGGGGTCAGGTCAAGCCATCAAGACACGGTGAGTGGGGCAGGAGGCCTGGCTGCTGCCCGTGTCTCTGGCCAAGGAGACAGGGCTGTGGTGGGACCAGAGACAAACTGGGTGCAGAGAGACTAGAGTTGGGGGCAGGTGCTGAGTGGTTTGACACAGGGTCTGTGGGAACCAAGCAAGTCCAGCACGGGTGGGACACACAGATTATCTGAAGCTTCAGGGCAGACACTCCCAGGGACACTGCGACCTTGAGCAGGGGATGGGATGGCTCTGTCATTTACTGAGCCCCTATCTAGCTTTGTCCCTCTGGGACTTCCTTACAGTAGGAGTGTGAAATGTGATAATTCAGGCATTCAAAATTGCATGGACCATAATTCAACAGGAATATAGCATCTCTCACCACCCAGCTGAAGCAGATAAACGCCCGAGTGCGTCTCTCTGCACTCCCACACCCCTATTTGCCTCTCTCTGTCTTTCTGTCTTCCCCTCTTTGTCTTGAGAGGAAAAAGTTCCCTTTTTGCATATTTTCAACTTTATGCTATAAAGATATGGAACAATATATAGAATTCTGTTGGTTGTTTTTACACTTTACATAAATAGAATTATTCTGTGTTTTACTTCTGTATTTCTATGCTTTACTTCTGTTTATGATTTTTCTGCTAACTATCTTGGGTTTTGGAGTGACTATAGGAGTGGTGTGATGACCAATAATACTGTTTTGCATTTTCCCCCAATCCCTTACATAACTCTGTCCCATCCCGCTGCCCCATGACTCTCTCCTATCCTCAGAGCCCTCACAGTGATTACGGAGCTCACCAGTGTTTGTAAGTATTTCACTTTACTGAGTTGTCCTCTGTAAATACCAACTTTGTTTTGTCATTCCCACTTGCCCTACTCCACACACTCCTTCAGTTTCGCTCCATTTGTTGGAAGTGCCTGCATTTCATCCTCCATCATGGCTAAATACTATCCCATGGTGTGGATAGACCACATCTCACTGGTCCCATCACTGGATGTTGGGCATGTGGGTGCCATATGCCCCCACATTGGTAATGATGCCACTCTGAGATTGGAGCACGTGCTTACTTTGAGTTGATGGCATCATAGTCTCTGCATAGATGCCCAAGGGTGGGATCACTGGGACATATGGCATTTCCAATTTTAT